TAAGGGAGTCACATCTTTTACATTCTTCTTTCGAATTCCTAAGCTTAACTATTTTTATCTTATATGAATTATTTATTTCTTTGAGAATTCTTACTAATTCTTTAAGGCCTAAGGTAGGTTCTCTTAGTTAATAATTTTCTTCTTCTAATTGACTACTCATTATAGACAGTCGAGCGTAAGGTGGTTTGATACCGGTAATATTATATGTCTCGTAGGATGCTTTTAAGCATTTTTCATCCTCTTTATTGGAAGAGGATTCTTTCATATTTCTCCACGAGGTTGATGTCTTTCCTCCTCTTCTTTCTTCGAGTGGTGAAGAAACTTATTCTTCTTATTTTTCATTACATGAACAAGAGCGTCCTTCATTTGACGTTGAATATTATGAGGATCATTCAACTACTGAGTATGTTTTTTTTATAGATTCTACCAGAGTTGTATGATAAGAGTATGGTGAAGATGACGATTATTCGATTTGTGCTTCTTCATATTTGAGTAATTGAACTAGTTCATTCATATTCTCTATAATTTCCTTCCTTCTTGATTTTTCCTGAAATTCATGAACGTTTTTATCTTTTGATTTAAGATTTAGATTAAACTCACAATCCTTAATTATCATATATTCGTTAGTGATACAGTTTCCAACATAATTTCCAATTTTCCTAAATTTTGAAAAACATTTAACAGTATTATGTTTATCTTCTTCGCCTTATGTGCTCATATTTTCTTGTTCGATACTTGGAAAAACTTCATATAATATTTCAAGAGTATCTCACATTTCCTTGGCAGTATTATATTGATGAACATATTAAAATTTGCTATCATCTAGAGACATATTTATAAAGCTCTTGGTTTTAAAATCTATTTCAAAATTTTTATTTTCCTCTTAGGTCTAAAGGGAATCGTGTTTATCTAATACTTGATCATTTACTTTATGAGTAGGGATAAATAGATAATTGACTATTATTTCCCAAAATTCATGATTTATGCTTTGTAAAATAAACCTAGTTTTCCAAATATCAAATCTACTATAATTAAATAGTGGTGGTGTGTTTGGAAAAGATCTCTTGTCAGAAGTTATCTTCCTCCTGAGACGATTAGTCCTTAAACAAGAGTTAGGCTCTGATGCCACTTGTTGAACATGTGACTTCTCACACAAGAGAGAGGTGATTTGTGTGGTCCTAAAAAACATGTTTTAAAACACTTTGAGGATTAAAATCAGAGTTTAAAAATAATTTGAAAATGTTTGACTATTACGAACCCTCATATACAAGGAAAGATGGCCAACCTCCAACCAAGCAATACAAGACTTAAGAATATGGTAGTTTGAGTCTTCTCTTCCAAATGACAGATCGAAACGGTTAGTCTCCTTTCCACATAGTATATTGAAGTGGTTAGTCGTCTTTCAACAAACAATAATTTTGCAGCGGTTATTCTTCAAACTTCTAAGAAAACTTTTTAAGCTTTTACCACGTGCTGAGCTCACGAACCTTAAAACTTGGTTTATATAGGCTAACCAATAACCAGGGAGACTTTAATACTGGGCTAATCTCAAACCTTATCTTAGCTTTTATCACAGGCTAAACTTTAACCTAACCTTGGTTTTACCTTGGGCCAACCAAGAACCTAGGAGATTTTACCATATGTTAATCTCGAACATATCAAGCGTTTGTCACCGACTGAGCTTGAACCTAAACAAAATTTGATCACAGAATCCCCAAACCAAATATTTTATGGGTTTAGCTTATAACCCAAACAAATCCTTAAATGGATAATGTTCAACTAAGGTGTATACAAAAGATTTCTTTGATAAATTTAAAATTCTAGCCTTCTAGAATTACAAAATATCCTCACTCGCTAAAGAATTTTCTCAAATAAGTACTTCGACTAAAACTTTAGTGAGAGAAAGTTAAAAGAAAGTTTTTAGAGAGAGAGAGAGAGAGAGAGAGAGAGAGAGAGAGAGAGAGAGAGAGAGAGAGAGAGAGAGAGAGAGAAGTATCAAAACACGATTATGTATGAAATGAAATGAGGGAAAAAACCTCTATTTATAGGCTAATGGCTGCCTCAAAAAAGAAATTGCTTTTAATTACTTTTAAGGCAATTTAAATGATTAACACCTATTGCTTATTGATTAGAAACTTCAATGCTATTCGATTACCAGTTCCAAAAAGGAAAGAAAATATATCTAACTGTTGTACATCATCAAGACATTTTTGTAATCTCTTAGAGCTTAATTTTGAATTGATCTAATTTATTAAACAAGAGCTCCAATCGATTAGAAAAGGCAAAACTTTGCCTATAGCAATTCCGAATGCTCCCAATTCATCTGACACAACATCAATACATTTTCGAAAATATTTTTTAGAGAAAAATTAGTTTAAAAATAAGTTTCAGTGTGTATGTGTGTGTATGTGTGTCTGTGCACGCGCGCGTGTGTGTTTTAGCCATGTACTTTTACGAGAATGTCTTTTTGCTTTACACAATATACACTGAGACTAAGGTAAGCATTCTTCTACTTCAAGATTGTTAGGTCATGAGGAGGAGCATCAACATTGGTTCAAGAGCAACACACAAGTGAGAGAGACACCACATATTCAACCAAAAACCTTAAGGTGATATGTGTATGGGTTATTCCATTTATAAATGCTCAAGTCTCCATATTTCTACCCCTCAAGTGAGAGTCTATCCACAATTCTCTCCCTCAACTGAAAACTCTTTCATCCGCTTACACTTGTACCGTCATTGACATTTTTCAACGGGACACTCTACCCGCAATCATGTGGTAATACTTTTGAGACACGTGAGTCAATCTCTTCACTCGAACCAGACTCTGATACCATTGTAAGGTCTATTCGGAGGGTCAACACGAGAGATCATTTTTCACTTGAAGAATTTTTTTTTATGAGTAACACAAATTTGTGAGAGACACACTACATTTTTCAAAGACTTTGTCAGATGCTTTCTTTTTAAGACACTTGCTTAAGTTCACTTGAGACGAGGCTTGGACATATATTCCATTTGGTTGCCATTATCGGATAGTCAAGTCTATCAAACCCTAATATGTTCGTTTAAGCACTTATGTTTGACTTGTTAGAAGACATTTGAGTCATCATAAATAAGTTATCATCATCAAAATTTCAACAAAAGATGTTATTCTTGTTAAAGACATATAACGTGTAAAACAAGTTCCACAAATTATGATTTAATTTTCATGGATGGTCCTTTCATATTTGTTGGTACTCGTAAGAAAAAATATTTTTGAAACAAAGGTATTTGATGAAATGTCACACAAAGAAATATGATTTTGTGAAGAAGATGACTAGGTGTCAACTTAGATGTCACGCATGTAAAAATAGACACTGTTAATGAAAAATAGACCGAAAGAATATATATAACACAATTTGAAAAAATAAATAATCAATTCGATCTTATTTAAAATTAAGGAAACAAAATAAATTCAAAAATATAAAAAATAAAAAATAATATTTAGTCTAATTAAATTGGTGGAAATTAGTACAAATTGAACAAAATCAAATAAAATCAACGAATAGAAGATTTGTGCATATCGACAAATTAATTTTTGATTTTTTGTACTTTCTACAAGTTAAAGCACTGTCGTTTTACAACTTCTTTACAAAAAAAAAACAAAACTTCAAAACAAAAATAAATTTTAGAAATTTAAATAGTAGAAATAGAAACTCACATTTAATAAACTCAAAAGATGAATTTAATCTAGGGTTAAATATGCTTGTGGCCCCTCATAAAATTTCAAGTTTTATTTTTTGCTTTTAAAAATATTTTTTTCAAAAAATGATCTTTTATTCATACTTTTGGTCTTTTGTGTAATTTAGCGACAATTTTTACAACTTAGCGACTAAATTATCGACAGTTTTGACAACAATTTATTACTTAAAAACTGAATTACAGTTTTAACGATAATTTTAGTATTAGAGGACAAAAGTGTGAATGAAAATTTTAGAAAGACTATTCTTTTAAAGAAAATATTGAAGGACTAAAAACAAAATTTAAGATATTAAGAAGATCAAAAACATATTTAACCCTTTAATCTATAATATTTTTAACAAATCTTAAATAAAACATATTTAACCCTTTAATCTCTAATATTTTTAACAAATCTTAAATGTCAAAAGTCTTTTTTTATAGAATTTTTCAAACAAAACTTTAAAATAATTTTTTTTTTAGAAAAACTAAATTTTAAAATAGTCGAAAATAGAAATCTCACAACACTTAACAAATATGGAAAATGGGTTCAATTTATAATATCTTACACAATTTTTAAATGTTATAAATTTTTTAAGAATTTTAGAGATCAGATTATCTAGATCGATTTATGTAATTGAATCATTGAACTTATAATGACATAACCAGTTTTTCAAACATTGAACTTATACTCCATAGTGACACAGGTTTGAGTTCTGTCACAGTTTCTGATAAGCAACCAAATTAATTAGATAGAAACATAAGAATTAAGAAGTGAACAAAGAAGAAAAAGGATGGCTTTATATAAACAAAACAATTTACATTATTTCGTTGAATAAGGTTATGAAGAACTACAAAACTGGATGCATTAATACATGTGCAATTTCAAATACAATAAACCATGTCCAACATCCCATATTAAACATATTACTGAGTAGGACGAACTCACTTGTTCCTCTAGCTCCTGTAGATAGGATGCTATAAAACTCTGAAATGAGTTTTGCCAATATCTATCAATAGCATTTTGACATATTTCTGGCCCTTAGGGCCAATATAATACCAAGAATTATATTTCAACAGAAGAATGAAACAACAAATCAATTAACTATGCACACAAATATAAACAAATAATCAGAGTTTAAGTTGAAAACTCAAAAGAAACCATTATACAATTATCTGATTTTATCAACCCACGAATGTGTATACTTTCATATATCCAAACCCAAAAGAGAAGAGAATACATAAACTATGTTTTAAACAAACAGGTTGCGATATGCTTCACTTCAACTGCAGCAGCTTCCACCAGCAGCAGAAGGGCCATCCCTACCTCCAGATGGTCCAGGAATTCCACCATATCCTACTTTTATTCCATAAGACTGCAATCATATAAAAATTATCAGTGACTTGTTTCTTGAATCAGAAGGACTACACGTTTCTCTTTATAATCATTAATGATATTAATAATGAAGTGGTAAAATAGTTGAGATAAAGAATAACGAATCTAAATTGATGAAATAAGAAGCTAACCTCATTTGATACATCAAAAACTCCATCCTGAATCTTTTTGTATATGGTTCCAGCTGTCTTTATGAAGGCCTGTAAAAGGATAGGTTATATTAAAACTTTTCTACGCAGATAATTTTCCAAAATATCCAACCTAAGAACTTAGTTATGCACAAAGTCTGTCTCTCCTCGTGGGAGATGGGAAATTAATGAAGAAAACAAAAGCATATGGTGTGACTTCTGACCTCTTCAACATTCTGAGCAGTTTTTGCTGAGGCCTCCATGAAGATCAACCCATGCTCCTTTGCAAACTGTTCACCTTCTTCTGTGCTTACAGCCCGTCTGTGAGCAAGATCACACTTGTTTCCAATCAGCATGATTGTCATATTTGCATTTGCATGCTGCCTTGCATCTTCCAACCAGCTAGCCAAGTGATTAAATGTCTCCCTCCTATTGTAGACACAGGGTCGGCATTATTTATACTACCTTAGTTAAAAATAAACAACACATAGTTCTAACATGAAACTACTTGGACATCCATTTATCAAAATTGTCCTACATATTATGTAACTCCCTCAAATTGGATACACTCAAAACACATATCTCCTAAAAAAATTCTAAGTAATTTAGCCCAAGTTATAAAATTTAAACAGTTTAATCTTCTAAATAAACAGACCAAAATGTTTTACAAATCATATTTCAAGTGATGGAAGATATAAAATACAATATTGCATGTAATCCCTGAGATGGATTGTAGGGCGATGGTAGATCAAGTTAATAACACAAGAAGACCATTCTCCACTAAGTGCCATCATATGATAATGTCTCTCTTTTCTTCCTTTTCCCCCCAAACTTTAGTGAGGTTATTTTAGAGACAAGCAAAGCAAGTAACTCATAGTCTAGCATGAGTGACTCCATTCACGACTTGTCGCTGCGATTTTCATCATTGCTCACAATGTATTACTTCTTTAATTTTAAGTGCAAACAATTATTGTATAATGGGATTTCAAAATCAGATAGTAGAAGTTCAAACTTGAGGATACCTGGTTATATCATAAACAAGCAGTGCACCTGCAGCCCCTCTGTAATACGACCTTGTAATAGATCTGAAGGATTCTTGACCTGCCTGAAATATAACGAGGAAGTTCAGTACCTTCAGGTTCACAATTCATGAAACTCAACCAACAGATGAAGAATATTTTCCATCCCTGAAATCCGGATAACCATTATATGTTGAAAAGGGCTGGATATTGTTTTTATCTCTCTCTTTATATAATAAGTGGAACACTGCCAAGATTTTTGAACGTTATAGACAGCGATACAGCGCAAAATTTCAACACAAGGCCACATAAAATTTCACTACGAGAGGATGTTAGGTTCCTTGCTTGCAAGATGAGTTTAAAAGGGAATTATTCGTCCCTGTAAGTTTATTAATGACAAATGGAAAAGATACACAAATGAATGTAATCCCCTCACTAGAGCATTCTCTAATTCATACAATTCTTATGCAAATGAATTCCTAATTCAAAAAGAAGGCAATGACCCTATTTATAACCATAGGATCAGCATACAGATTTGAATAATCCTGACTGACTATTTCTAATAACTAACTGCCGCTCCTAACTGACTACTAATCAGTTAGTGGGTGGTATGTCGGTGATTAAAATTAAGTTTGATTGAATTGATTTTGTACAATTGATTTTAGTTAATAGTGGGTTAAACAAAAATGATTTATGTTTGAATAGGAAAAAAATGAGTGATTTATATAAAACTGGTATTTGAATAATTTGATTAAAATTTCTATTAGGTGTGCAAACTATCAAAATGGATTTTAAGATATATATATTTTTTTTTCAGCGTAATGTACAAAACTGTTACAGACCATAAATATTTTCCTTCTTTACATGCATAAATATTTTACTAGTTTTTTTAGGTAAATAAAATCTATTCTATCAAAAAGATAAACAAAAATAACTTTGAAAACACCATCTAAAAATCCACCACCTCACACTTCACCCACAAATCACAATGCGTTTTTTCCCCAGCTGTTTAAATGAGATCTATGTTATAAAAAGAGTAGAAAAATGTAGGGCAATTAGAGACATGCAAAGTCAAAGTTCAAAAGTGCAGAATCGATTTGTAGACTGCAAAAGCTGCAAAGTGATGCTTCAAGTGGAATCAATTTTGAAAAGTACAACTGCTTTTTCTTTCAAATACCAAACAACTAAATAGCATTATCAAATCAGATTTATCAGGTTTGACAAAGTGAATGTGCGTTAATGGCCTATGAAACCAAACATATGCAACAATCTTGAAGGGCATGAGGAGAATCATTATCGGGCCTAATAGAGGATCTATTTCGATAATAAATCTAGAGAAACTAATCATTTGAAGACTAAAAGGTACCTTAAGGGTCACCATTACCAAATCCCATATCCCACCCAATACTCCCATCTAATAGATAAAATTTTCCCTTTATAACCCATGACCATTTGAGAAGATGGGTTGACAAACCTATCTTACCTCTACAAAGGCATAGACTTACTTGATGCCTATACAAACTTTATAGATAAATTCATGAAATTCCCCAAGTAATTTGGTTCTCATTCTCAACAAATTAAATGGTTATCCACCAAGGACACTAGAGATCACACTGAGCATGGTATTCTTTAAAACAAAATGGCATGGATATCCAAGTTATAAGGACAGACTACAAATATGACAAACAATGGCATCCACGCTTGGCCCATTACCCCCCAATATGGTTCCAATCTGCACAATTCTTCATATGAAAACCAGCCAGTGATTCAACATATAATAATAATAATAAAAAGTACAACAGATTTGTAAATAAGTATGAACATTGAACAAGTTGGAAGGATTTCTGAAAGAGTTGAACAAACCGTATCCCATATTTGCAACTTGATTGGCTTATTGTCGATTGTGATCATCCTAGCACCAAATTCAACACCAATGGTCAGGTCATGAACGGGTTGAAAGCGCTTGTCAGTGAACTGAAGTAGAAGACATGACTTTCCAACTCCTACACAATTTTTTTAAAAAGGGTAAAAAAATTTAAACAATCTAAATAACAAAAACATATAAACTAAAAGGAACAAACTATAACACACTATTAGCTTTTTATATTGAGCCTCACTTATCTTAACAAAACAGTTCTATAAAGTGATTAGTGATTCTCTTCATAAACTTTTATTAGGCCTTATTCTTTTTACATGGGACTTGAGTTTTATCCAATACACACCGCACACTAGTGTTGTTAGCGGAGAGCCAAAACCTCACAATACCGTCCGCTTTGCAGCACTGTTATAGCGGATTATGGCACAAAAACCTGCAATATCAGCCAATATGTACCATCGTGGCAAGCCCAAAAACTGCCAAGTATATCCACCATAGCGCCGTCATGGCCGATATTTGATAATAATACTGTCTCACGCCCAGTATTGAACTCAGTGAGTAGATAGAAATGATGTCTCACTCCCAATACTATTGGACTTGGTGAATAGATATAAATGATGGGTGACAGAAGTGATAAGCTCAAATACCATATTAGGTTTTATATTAGCATAACTCATTGATGATATTTATTCTTAGTTAATAGTAAAACAAAAGTAACAATAAATGATCAATCACAATAACAAAATTCTATTCCAGTTTCCAAATTAAAAAAAAAAAAAAAAAAAAAAAGCAAACACAATGAAGGAGAAGAGTGCTAAAATGATCACGAGGGAAGTTGAAAATGAAGGTACTATTGTTTTTGGTCCAAACCATCAGGTTCTTAGGGGAAAGTGACTCTAGTAACATGAATTTCAATGGAAGGCAAGTCAAATTTAGCTAATGATTGTTCTAACCGGCAATTGAATTCGAGTGCTCCCAATCGACCACGCTCATTAAAAACTAGTGCTCAAAGTTCAAAAAGCATGTACTATAACACAATCACAATAAATAAACATATCTATACATTCATCAAATTTCATCAATTAAATACTTATGATAATTTGGAAAACAAAAAACAAATAATTGTTAGCATGTAACAACACAAGAGAACCAAAATCAAATATCTTTAATTATCATAATATATACATAAATATCAAATAATTCTCAAAAACAAAAACCCTATAAATAAAATCCGATCGGGAACCGAAGCTGGAGAACTCAACGCACACGCGTGATCAAGCAACCACAACAACATCAAGGTTTAACGATAACGATAATTAAGCGAATTAATAAATTGAGATTAAGATTAACAAAAAGAGATTAGAGAGGGTTAATTGAGGTTATTACCAGTGTCGCCGATGATGATATACTTGAAGAGATACGCGTAAGACATTGTTGTGCGGAAGAGGAAAGAAAGAAAAAGCGAAGAGGGGAAAAAGGGAGAAGGAAAAAGAAGAGAAGAGAAAAATTAGAAATCGATTATCGAGAGTCAAAATCGAATTATAGAGTTTCCAGCGAGGCAATAATATGTTTTGCTTTTCAATCTCAATTTCCTTCGCTTTAAATTTTCTCTCTCTAAATTCTTTCCTTCTTCGTAACAACTTTCTTCTTCCCTACGAAAACGATCATACTTTATACGTTCATTTCATATTAATGTTGTATTATTAAATTTTAAATTATACTTTCAAGGATAAATACACGTTCATGTAATTTTTTATTATTGAATTTTAAATTATATTTTCAAGGATAAATATAAAAATAATTATATCGTTTGTGAGTCATTGTTGATCATAGGATAAAAATTGCTTTAAAGACTTGATAGCGTATAGACATGATTAGTTATACATGTCGGCTAACCTAAACTTGGGCCATGCACATAATGAGAAATTTTTATTATTTTTAATGCACAATGTGAATTTTCATATATATTTTATATTTTTGAAAATACATTCCGACGTATCCAACACACATTTAAAAAAGGTTATTCTGCCCTTTTTCTAATTTAGTTTATTTCGGAGATAAATTTTTAGAATAATTTTGTAGTTATATCTTGAGATTTACACTAGAAACAAATTTAATAGATCCAAAATGAAATTGACATTCATAGTATAAAATAATCATTATAATGATAATTTCAACTGAAAATTCAATATCACATTTCAATATTCCGGTGGACGCTTGCACATCTTTAGAATATCTTCGACCGATCTTTGTAGCGTCGCTTCCAACTCGAGCGGAACTTTCTCTTCAAAACCGGAAAACGTATCCCACATAGCCCTAACATCCGTTTGTGTCTTGAGAGCTCAAACATGGTGAACTAAATCTGCCATCCGTTGTCAGTCGAAGGTGAACGGTACTCAAGATTCACAATCTTTCAATTGTCTCTGTAAGATAGGATATGGTGGATTTTGTCTTTGATATCTTCAAGGGAGGTGAAGTCAGTGAGCTTGAACGTTCGCCTGGGTGTAAAGTCGGAGAAGAACACATTTGCAACATACCAATAGATTTTTATTTGTGACATTTAAGATATTTTGAGTTTGTGTGAAATATAACATTAAAACACCTAAATTTATAGAAGGCAGAGATCAATTTGGACCACTCATCAACTGACACATTGATTTTGGAGATATATCTTTTAAACGCACTGTGTAGTCGAGTTGTCATTCGGTGTAGGCTTCAATTTTTTTGGAACACCTTTTGTTTTTACCAGTTGAGAAGGCGATTTCATGCCAGTGGTTTTGGGATAAACAATCTTCCTAGATTGTTCTTTGATGTGGAGTTTCATGCTGTCATCGGCCTTCGAAAATCTCTTTTGTATCATTTTCCATTCGGTCAAAATAGTGATATTCGATTTACTGTCACCCATGCATCCATCATCATAAAACCTAAGTCTCTTCCAATGAGAGTGTTGAAGCGGTAAAGCAGCAAGCAAAAATATTATTTTCGGAAGAATTTCCTCCGGGATTTATCGTCTCCACAGGGATCAGTGTGAGGGAAAGAATGCCGTTCGACAATCTCTACGTCTCTAAGCTTGGGTTTGAATGGTTTGGGATAAAAATTCAAAAGGAAAAACATAAAACAAGAAAAAAGGTACATTCTTAAGAAATGAGAAAACTCGTCAGGTGTTGTATTTCGTTTTACCTATCATGTACTAAAAAATATATGGATCAAATGCACGCAACCTAATTCACTCGTCAATATCATCACGTATCGCTCACAACAGAGTTTATCTCTAACACAAAGTCGAGAGATCAACCGTATCGTCTCATTGTTGATCTCTCACACAACTCGACAACACGGAGCATTAAGAATCGATACCCACGTGAATATTAGTCCTAAATCTATCTCTAGCATTCAGAATCTAACAGATGTTCATCTTAGATCGAGTTTGACCCATATATCTCTATAGCAATCCAAACCCATTAAGTAAAAAATCAAGATAAGCATCAATAAAGAGTTGTAAAAGAGATTTTATACAAAGATCCATAAATATACATACAATCAAGATAAACTTACATACAAAACCCCAACAAATGAAAAATACATAGAGAGGAAGGAAGAAGAACACAAATCTCACGGTCTGTCAACTCCGATTGAAGTGGATTCGACTCCGGATCGTCAAGATGCACCCTCCAATGTTGTTTCTAAGCTAAATCTACTCAAGAATGTGTTTGATGAAGTTGGGGTAAAAAGTTCCCAAACAACATTCCCTAAAAAATGCTGAAAAATCACTTAAATGGACAAAATTGGGTCCCAGTATTCGCCTGGCGAAGTCCCATTCGCCTGGCGAACATATACAACTTTTGCTTCTGTAAAAACAGTGTTTTTCACGCGTTTTTGAACTTTCGGTTCGCCTGGCGAACTTTTGTTCGCCTGGCGAACATTCGCCTGGCGAACTTTGGCGAACATGACAGCAAACCAACTTGTTTCGACCATAACTTTTTAACCGTAACTCCGTTTTTCGCCCGGTTCGAAGCGTTGGAAAGCTTATTCAATGCTCTATCTAATAATGCTCCAACATCAATGCTTTATTACCTACAAAAATGAACGAAATTCAATTAAACTCAATGATATTTACAGGAAAACATAATATATACACTATAACGTAAAGTAAACGCATTTATAAACAAAGCGGGGTTTATTCGAACGATTTTAACATAAAGTAACGTTAAGTGCAACAAAACTTATATACAAAAATAGGTAAAATTTGCACTTAACAACTCTCCCCAACTTACCTAATTGTTTGTCCTCAAACAAAGTCGACAACTAAAGGAACAAAAGCGAAATCCAAGAAATCACGTAACAACAAGTTTTGACAAACGGAAAACAAATGCAATGGTTCAATCAAAAATTGATACACGCAAAGTGAATACTTACCACTGAACTTCAACGATAACATAATCACGAAACAAATGCTAAATACAAAAGTCATGCCAAACATTCTAAAACAACACAAGCTCAAACGTGAATCACACCTAGCAAAAACAATCATCGGTAGATGAAAAACACAAAATGAGGGCTTTTTTCACTCACACAATAATCTTGCAAACAAAAGATTAAATTATGCAATCATCCAAAAATCATGTTGAAAACACAAAAGCAAGAATCAAAAGGACTTTCAGGGTTGTAATGTGGTCGGGTGAACAAACAAGGGATAATTCCTAAAGCTAATCGAAACAAAAACTTGCCTAAACCTAAGGGAGTGATAAACTCACAAAGTTTCAAACACCAAAATTCCAATCAAACTTCTTCCAGAATCCCAAGTGTTATACCAAACACATAGAACTTATTAGCACAACATTATTCTACTCTTTTTGTTTATCTTTTTCTAAGCTTTTTCAAATTTTTTTTCTTTTCTTTTCTTTTCTTTTTCATATTTTTCTCATTTTTCTTTTCTTGTCTATTTTTCAACCTCATAGCAATCAACAACACAAGTGAACGATCATCATCTCCCCAACTTGAATTCAACCACATCATCATGTGAATACTCCCTACTTTCTAAGGCAAGGTAAAAATTCATACAACAACACAAAGTTGAAGGCTCAAGAAAAAAACAACAATCAAGATCCACACAAAAAATGAATTTGATACTCATAGACAAGAATAAAACTCAAACAACATGGATAATGACCAAAGGCTCAAAGGGGTTACAAATGATCACACACTCACAAGGTGAACTGACTATTTGGCTAGGTAGTTGTGCTCAAAATGAAACAAGTGCCTTAATCCTTTTCATGCTTTCATATAATCAACACAAACAAAAGATTAAGCATAATAAAATCCAGTTAAAACAAGAATATTGGTACTCCGAGCATATATGAACAACGAAAGGCTTTCTCACAAAAAGGTGGGAACTAAAGTGATTCACAAAATGAACAAGTATACAAAAGATTGAATGGCATGGAAATTGTAAAAAGTCTAAGTATCATGAATATGCTAAAGCCTAGAAAGCGATAAACACATACCTTGAATGTGTACAAAACTTAAAACACTATCATTACCACGCATTCGCAAGTTGAAACACTCAAACTTGGAAAATCACCTCAAATACCTCAAGCTACCAAACAAAAATTTGAGTCCAAACAACAATAAAATACCGGGTGAAAATGGATTAAACAAGTTGTAAAGTGAAGATTTGAGAATTTTACGAATAATCCGAGAACAACTTGTTTAATGAATGTTCACCACACTACCTAAGCTAGAAGGAAAAAGTAATAATGAAACAAAAATGGAAAAAACATGCTTGTTTTACGTCGTAAGCTCGACGCCTTTATTGTGCTTAGCTAGTAACTTCCTTCCTTCATGCCATGTGATGTCTCACCGCGCAAACCAAAAGCAAGTGTCCTAACCAACCACTTGAACAAATGTTACGAGAACAAAATATATACAACACTTAAACAAACATACTGGAAGACAAAAGCAAAACAAGTATCTATACAAGCATATATATACAATTATGTGCAAAGCTTAGAAATATAGAAACTATCGCAATGCGACTCAATATCACAACCAATCCCCGGCAACGGCGCCATTTTGTTGAAGCGGTAAAGCAGCAAGCAAAAATATTATTTTCGGAAGAATTTCCTCCGGGATTTATCGTCTCCACAGGGATCAGTGTGAGGGAAAGAATGCCGTTCGACAATCTCTACGTCTCTAAGCTTGGGTTTGAATGGTTTGGGATAAAAATTCAAAAGGAAAAACATAAAACAAGAAAAAAGGTACATTCTTAAGAAATGAGAAAACTCGTCAGGTGTTGTATTTCGTTTTACCTATCATGTACTAAAAAATATATGGATCAAATGCATGCAACCTAATTCACTCGTCAATATCATCACGTATCGCTCACAACAGAGTTTATCTCTAACACAAAGTCGAGAGATCAACCGTATCGTC